AAATATAAAGCACATGTAGATAAACGTATGAACCTATAATAGATTCATTTCTAATTTGAAAAATTCTTTATTTGAATGTTAATTTAGTATTTGTAAACTATATTCATCAATACATGTTTACCTTTTATCTAACTATAATTAAATATTAAGAAATTTGAGATTTGTATATTCTCAAACCTTCAGCTGAACAAAGTGAATAAGGTGACAAAATCGTGACCTGGTATGATTATCTTTTAACACATCTGAACATTTTAAAGATGTCACGAAGATGAGTCAATAAAAAAATAGACTGCCTAGATTGCTTTCACACACACACACACACACGCACGCACGCACGAACGCACGAACAGACACACACACACACGCACACACACACTCGCACACACACACACACACACACACGCACACGCACACGCACACACACACTCACACACACACACACACACACACACACACACACACACAAAAAGAAGTAAAATAATCCTACAGGACAATCAAAATCCGTCGTTCTTTTCATTGAATGGTATTTCAACCATACAAAGTCTGAATGAAGGTGTAGTCATTGATACCAGGATGTCCCACTCCTGAGGGCAAATCACTTTTATAAGAGCAAAGACTAGTGTTGCCCTATTAAAGAACTATATTATATTGGGATGCTTCTACTGTGTAAGTATTTTTTGTACATAAAATTATAGATTTCATATTTATTTCATAATAATAATAATACTAATACTTATTATAATAATAATGATTATAATAAAGATGATGATGATGATGATGATGATGATGATGATGATGATGATGATGATGATGATTATAATGATGATGATAAAAAATGTCCTGTTGGTTAATCTTTATTGGTGTGTTCAAAGTCCTGACAATGCATTGGTCCATAACGGGCACATTTTCCATAAGTATATACAGTATTGACAAAGACATTGGATATTCTTTTAAAATATTTCTTTAAAAAATGTTGATTAACATTCTAAGTTATTTCGTGAAAGATGTAAGCTTAAAGCATTGATTTTTGCAGATAGATGAAATAAATACAGAAATTAAATCAACTAAATTAAATAAAAGAAAACAATATTATTAACTCTAATAAATAATGGTTATAGCAAACAATTAATGTGGAGACTTTTTATCATAATATTGAGAACCTTTACACATCGGCTAGACTTTTATAAAAGTAATAACACATGTATAATAGTCGATATGACTGTTCAAAGCTTTTTACAAACACGCAAATGTGAAGGTATTACGACTGGTTTCCAACTCTTTCTTTGCTTTAATTAACTTGTCAGAATAATTACATAAGTATGCTAGTCCTCTTTATTTTTCGTTTGCCACGAAAACAATCCAAAGAATAACATGTTATTGACGTGTTAAAAGACAAGGTTGTGTATAAATAAAAATTACAATTATTTACACGTTATAGTAAGTTCGAAAAGCCAATTCACCTTGAAAATGTTAAAATTAATTGCTTCGCTCGTTGTACTTATTTTCACTTAATTAAATTTCAATTTTGTTTATACTAAGTTTTATTTTCTTTGTCCGTTCTTATGATGATTGAGAACAGCTGTCATATTTCTGTTTTGTTTTTAGTTTGCAGGAAATAAAATTTGCACGAAAATAAGTATAATTATAATTCGATGGTATAGAAAACTATAAATATTGAATTAGTTTGTTATTTTTATTTGTAATCATTTCATTTACATAATAAAGAATATAAGATTATTTTTACGGATTGAATAGTTATCTTGAAATATCCCTTTTCAAATACCTTCGTGAGAGTTTGCACACATACAGGATAATGTCACACTCTTATTTCAACCACTTCAAATATAAATAGTGACAAAATTATATCGAGTGTTGCTGATTTGTAAAGAAATGATCTAGCAGGGTTTGTCAGATTGGTTGATTGGTTGCGGTATGACTATTAGTGCTGCATATTCATAGAGTAAAATTACATCGAAGTGGTCTATCTCAGACAACAGCAAGTTTTATATACCAAATTGTTCGTCTGGGTCTGAATTTTCCGGAATGAATATTCATTTGGCTCAATTCCGGTGCGAAGCTTCGAAATCAAAGATGGCGTCAAAGATGGACGCCGAATCCCTAAATATTCTGGAATATTAATGTAGGCTCATATTTGTTAACACTTTTGTATTTCAAGTATTTCGCAGTCTGATCAGGATCCATGCTATTCGCTTACCAACTCTATTACAAGTAGAGAAACTGATAGCAAACAGCATGGATCCTGACCAGACTGCGCGGATGCGCAGGCTGGTCTGGATCCATGCCGGTCGCAAACCCAATATGTTGGTTTGGTCTTGATGCGGCTTAATTGATCATTGGATTTACGTCATTACAAATTGTCGGTACTTTCTTAAATACTCGGTACTTAGAACACAAAAGTTATGATTAACCGACCGGACATAGTCATTCGGTTTAAAATACACTAAAATAATTAAACTTGGCTACAAGAAATAAGCAATAGCGTGTTAAATTCAACTTACGGTATGATATAAGTGCAAAAGTATTATTCATCATTTATTTGATGAGTATGATGAAATTACAAACCGATAGTTTTAACTGTAAGTTGTTAGCGGTATTTCAAAGAAATTTCAAACCTGTGGCCGTATTCATAAATCTCCTAAAGCACATCGATTACTATGATTCCAGATAGAAACAATGGTTTTGGGTATTGTTTTCGCTAATCAAAGCGCTTATCGTTGATATCTCCAACAAACGCGTTACGTTGCCTCGTACTTGCGTATTCCCTTTTGTTATAACCTTTAATTGTTTGTGTATTAACATATTACAAGCAGGTAACATTTTGAACATATTCTTGACACACAGCTGCTTATTTATCGCTACTCACAAAATGGCATGATTAAGCAACTATGCGACTATACCTTCACCATAAAATCTTGCCGTTTTTTCTTTGAATTTTTACTTTTTATACAATCTGTTGTATTCAAACTTGAGTGTCGATTTACGTCACTTGCTTATGAAATTTGTTCTTTGTAATAAAAGTACTTTTTCCTTTCGTTATTTCGTATGTTCATCAACAATAATGCTAATTATACAGTTTTAACGAATCTGTATCATGTTGAATGTTACAATATTATTTATTTAAAATTCATCTAAACGGATTTCGTTTCCTTTGTTCCGGTCAGCTGTTAAGCGACTAATGTCAATTACGTCTTTTTAGCAATTTCCGACATACTTTGATAAAAAAACCTCGAAAACACTGAAAGGATATGGTTTTTAAACTTACGACGTCGGTTTCAAGAATTAAACATGTTGTTAATAATTGCTTTAAGTTATTGAGACATTTTTGTTATTATGGCCTGATGGACTTGATTTGACAGTTTATTTATTTACTGATCATTATTCAATTACAGACGGAAACTATATATATTAACAATTTCTTAAAAAGTTCTATAGTTTCCGTCTGTAATTAAATAACATGAGGTGATATTTTGAAATTCATTCTAATTGACATACTTTTTTCATATCATAATATGATAAAGCCGAGTGGATAATGTCGTTGACTTCAAACCACTTGCCCCTCACCTCTGTGGGTTCGAATCCCGACAGGGACTTTGGATTCTTTCATGTGAGGAAGCTATCCAGCTAGCTTACGGGACGTTGGTGGTTCTACTCAGGTACCCGTTCGTGCCTGAAAAAATGCACAGAAGGGCACCTGAGGTCTTCCTCCACCAGTAAAGCTGGAACGTCGCGATATGACCTATACTGTGTCGATGTGACGTAAAACCCAAAAACAAACAAAACAAACATATCATTATATCGGAATACACTTTAAGTTCCTCCGGAAAGTCAATGGAAGTATTTCTTATCTATAATAAAGATTATCATTTCAAATAATTTTTATAATGCAATTATGATTTAAAAAACAAAAACAAAAAAAAACTGATTACAATATATAAAAAAGAAAAAAAAAAAAAAAAAAAAACAACAACAAAAAACACTCTTGTAGCATCCTCATAAAATAGATATTGTTGGTACTTTATTTGATTTGCCCACTATTTGCTTCAGTTTGCAGATATCGACTGAATGCTTAAAGGGATTTTTTTCTCTTCTTTATTTGCTCTCGGGATTTGACGGAGATTATATTCATTAACTGATGCAAACAACTGATAAGAGAATATAATTTATACATTTCATCTTTGTTCCATCCAAGACAGTGTTCGGTTGTGTAAAATGATTAAATAAGTAATAGAAAGAGCACCGAAACACGAGGCTATCTGATTTGGACGAGGGGGCGTAGCCCCCGAGTATAAATCAGATTGCCGAGTGTTTTGGTGTTCTTTCTCTTTTGTATCATAGTCAAACATAAAAACACGTTCCCTGTTGTCACAATATGAAACCCCGGCAAAAATGAACCAATGAACGAACATCTGAATATGATATTTCTGTCGCTTTCCCTTTCTCTGCCGTCACAATATGTAAACCCCAGCAAAAATGAGCCAATCAATGGGCATGCTCTGGAGTGCGGGTAACTAATACCCGCACTCCAGTTAATGCACTGTGCATGTATATGTATAAGATTTAACCCTGACACATTTTCAACAAAAAGGTCTCCAAACTATGATACAATTCACGCTTACCCAGCAAATGCAAAATGTGTAAACATTATGTTCGGTTTGAGAAAAGTATGTATATGAAATAAAAACTGGAACCAGTATCATACGAATATTTTCAATATCTGTTGGACAGGCAAGGGCCTATTACTGACTATTACTGTATTAGTTTTAACTACTGCCTGTGATGTTGTTTTTTTTTCACAGATATTTGTATTCAAGTACGTTCACATGAAAAGAAAAACTCACCAAGTAATCAGATGTTTATATCCCAATTAAAAACGTATTAAATCAAATCTACATTAGTTAAAAAAAATACAAATGTTGGTTTTGATATAGATGTCGAGTATTAGATATTAGAATACATGATATAAAAAGTAATTCCAAATATCAGGTGGAAATGATCTGTTTATTTATGTGTATATACATGCATATACATACATATTTCATATTTCTTGATATGAGCAATACAAATTCTGACATATTATATATTATTCAAATTGTATATAGCGATTTTATCAAAAGTTCGAACACAAACTTATAGTATTTTTTCGAAGGCATGAAATTGCCTTTCAACAACAATTTCTTTAAACTACTTTCCCACACATTGTAGCTTGGGCGAGTCTTTTAATAGAATGTGATCAAAAGATGAAATTATACCGCAGGTTCATACACTTACATGGTACTAGATAATTAATACTTGTCTTGTCCGACGAAAAATCATCTAAGTGTATTTGCAAGTAAATCAGTTGGTTGCGGGTAGAAAAAATGTGTGCTTGATATTAAGTTTTTTTATTCTACAATCGATTGCTGTACTTTATGTCATAAAAATTATGTCTACAAAAAAAAGACAAAAAGAAGAATATATCTTGGTAATCTGGTTTTAAACTAACATGTTTGTATGTTCATGTTTTCAGACCCGTTTTCTGTGGACGAGTAGCTTTACATTTCATGTAAAATATCGTTCTTTGTCATTTACATGTAAATAAAAGAAAAAGATCCTAACACTTTATTCATAACAGTCAATTTAAACACAAAACACAAATATTTTTTTTTGTTTAGATCTAATAAATGTTATAATAAATGTATATAGATATATATCGTTTATAAAAATCCTTTTACTATCAATCATTTTTCATCTGTCGTCTGCAATTTCTTGCTGTGAGCATCCTTGTATATAAGTAAAAGCTGACTAGAACTGCCACTATCATGGCATGAATACCCCCGCATACCACTTTGTCACAATCAACAGTGGCCATTTAGAGTTCAAGGACAACCTCCCTGCCAAATCTGAGGTTACTAAGCCAGTGCATTGCTAAGTTATGTATTCTACATGCTTCAAATGTGAAAATGTCAAAATCAATACATTGCGGACAGGACATTCTTTAGCAATTGAGAAGGAAAGCTTTTTTTGTCAATGTCCCTGTGACCTTTACTTTTGACCCAGTGACCTCAAAATCAATAGGGGTCACTTTATAGTCATGATCAACATCCATGCATAATATGAAGACTGTGGGTCAAAGGAATCTTAAGTTAGTGGGTGGACAAACTTTTTGAAGTCAAAGTCCCTATGACATTGACTTTTGATCAGGTGACCTCAAAATCAAAAGGAGTCATCTACTAATCATGATCAATATCCATGCCAAATATAAAGAATGTGGGTCAAAGGAATCTTAAGTTATAGGGCGGACAAGCTTTTTGAAGTCAAGGTCCCTGTGACCTTGACCTTTGACCTGGTGACCTCGAAATCAATAGGGGTCATCTACTAATCATGACTAACCTTCATGCCAAACATGAAGACTGTGGGTCAAAGGAATCTTAAGTTATTGGGCGGACAAGCTTTTTGAAGTCAAGGTCCCTGTGACCTTGACCTTTGACCTGGTGACCTGAAAGTCAATAGGGGTCATCTACTAATCATGACTAAACTACATGCCAAATATGAAGACTGTGGGTCAAAGGAATCTTAAGTTATTTGGCGGACAAGCTTTTGGAAGTCAAGGCCCCTGTGACCTTGACCTTTGAACTAGTGACCTCAAAGTCAATAGGGGTCATCTTCTAATCATAACTAACCTCAATGCCAAATATGAAGACTATGGGTCAAAGGAATCTTAAGTTATTTGGCGGACAAGCTTTTTGAAGTCAAGGCCCCTGTGACCTTGACCTTTGACCTAGTGACCTCAAAATCAATAGGGGTCATCTACTAATCATGAATAACCTCCATGCCAAATATGAAGACTAAGGGTCAAAGGAATCTTAAGTTATTCGGCGGACAAGAAAAAACCGACGGACAGCCGGACGCTGGACAGCCGGACGGCCGGACGGACGGACAAGCTGATTCCAGTTTTCCCCCTTACAACTTTGTTGTGCGGGGGTATAATTACCAATCTTACTGGGTCATTGTTATATAAAGACTTTCAAAATGCTCTGTACAAATAGGTGGTGGCTACATGCCTCAAGATGAAACAAGATATTTCAAGAAATTCAAACATGAGAAAAAAGTAATGAGACTTTAGTAAAGTAATAATATCCATGTAATATGCGACAAATTACCAGTAGGGAAATTTTGCATATTTTGATCTCATTCTGGTAATTTACATGGGTTGTAAGTGCTTTTTGCAATGTAAAAATTATTTTCTTTGTTCAATTTACAATATTTTACTTTTTTGATACATTATCATGAAAATTAACATGAATCTAAAGGCGTGATGCTTTAAACTCTCAAAAAATCTCAATATACAATAGCATCATCTCCTCGAGCAGTAGTGCGTAACACTTCTTAGAAAAAGTTATACTTTTCGTACAGGTGGAAAATATGACATTTTGATGGCAAAATTGAAAGCACCTCAATACACGCCGCTTTAATAATACAAAATACATTGTATACAATCTAAAGTTTTAGTAAAAAAAAAAGATATACATGTATGTATGTATGTATGTTGTTTGAATTAAAAAGCTTTGCAGCAACAATAGTTCGGTCCGCAGTCATTAGGTCTCCATGTGCATCCTCTAGGGCCGTATCCATATGAAAACAGATTAACTTTTCCAGAATCAGGTTGGTCTTCTTCAGAGTTGGCTTTTGGTACGGGATGATTCTTTTTAATTTGGACTGCATCGCAACATGACACGCTGTGAATATGATTATTATTATTAGATCTATTATTCACACCGTATTACCGGCGGCAGTGATGGCAGATCACTGCAGTGATGGCAGATATCTGAAAATTACCGATCGGTACAGGTAGGTTATAAATTTGGTTGGTTTAATTATATTACACAAATACGGCCCATTTCATTGCTATAAAACTATTGTCCATTGAATGGAGATACTGTAAGGTAATTTTGGACTCGTTATTTCCTGTTTTCAGACTATTTTGAGCAGGTTAAAAGTGAAAGCCTTAGAAAAATCCGTGAAAATGTCTGTTTTCTGTTCAAAATATCTCAAGTTTTAAGTAAATGGCAGGATTTCCTGTTATCAATATAGACGGTCATCCATTGGGGTCACGCAAGCCAAATATCTACCCCGTGAGTCTTTTCTTGAAAGTTTTACAGACGCCCAATCTTGTCCGGTCGAAGAAAAAATGCTGCCGTTGTAGGCAGATACATATTATAAATGCTGCCGTCGATGGCAGAAATACCATGAAAGTGGCTAACATTCTGACAGAAAATCAAGTTCAATCTTTTATCAATTTCTCTTTTCTTTGCGTCCTTTTAGTCAGAATTGTGACGTTAAACTATCATTTCTAATATTTTCTCAAGATAGAAAAGTTATTAACCCATTACCCCATGAGCATCTTGTGAAAAATGGCTGTTTTCATTGAAAGGTCTCCCGTTACAAGTTCAAGTTGCTATAAAACTATAAAAAACTGCTTCAATACTAATCAAACTTGACACAAATGTTGACTGGACCATTGCTTTTGTAACAACATGTTCAGTCTGAAATTTCCTGTTACCATAGCAACTAGGGGACATCTCAAAATTGCCAAAAATCACTATTTTGCGTTGATTTTTTCCATCAAAATTGATTTCAAAGTGATGCCACTTCTCAATGGATTGAGATAGAGTCAAAGGCTTTTCAGCATTGGTTACACGTTACCTTATGATCGACCTGGGGCCATTTTTAGCCTCCCACAAGTCCAAAGTCTTTGGCGATGAGGGGGACTCAGTCCCTCTCAAACCCCCCAAACAGAAGGGGGCACATCCCCCTTCTGGCAACCCCCTGATGTATCTTTTGGATGGGGGTGGGGCCCGCGCCGAAAAAGTGGTCAATTTTTTTTAAAACAACATTTATCAAACAAAAACAAGTGTTTGGGGGCCTAAATAAGGCATTTTTTCACCATTTGAGAAAGCAAAAAAGGAGGGGGTGAAAAAGGCGTAGAAAGGCGTATATATCTGGTAATGGGTTAACAGAAAATGATGAAAAAAAAAACGATATTACCCAAAAACGCGTTTTTCCATGTTAAAACATGGCCTCACATATCATTTTGAAGAAAAATTGCTGTTTTGTAGATTTTTTGATTTTTTTCATTAATGCGGTATGTGCATCGAAAAAAAAAGCTTATTAGCAACATGCAGTTACAATACAAAAAGTTATGATTTAGTACCACAAAATTTCACTATAAATAGAGAAATGAACATGAAAAACTTCATTTTTCTATATTCATGCATGTGTGCTTGATCTTTTGTGTCTGTCATGCAGTTACATGCATACAATACTATATGTATCTTAAGTTTAGCAGCGCACTCCCTTTTTAAGACATAACGCCAATTGCATATTACAGCAAGTAACTTCTGTAAGTGGATATTCATTTGCTAGCATATGACATTATTTTCTCGAGGTAATAATGTTCATCGCTTTATGACAAATAAAGGCTGAAATTTACTTAATCGGCGCAGATTATAAATTATTAAATTGATGTAATAAAGGGCAGACTATTAACCTCGAAACTGGCATCAGTGTATCATAAAACCATGTATGTTAATGTAAAATGGAAAGATAATATTATTGACAGTTCAAATATTTTCCTATATTATCATGTTCTTGAAAAACACGACAATGTGGATTCATTTCTTTAAATTTTCATGTTTGTAATAGCGTTGTAGTTTGCCTTTGAATTACATTTACTATGCTAAACTATTAACAACAGTTCTAACATCATGTGCTCCCATTTAACTATATATTTTTCATTCATATTAGTTGTAACCATGACAACTTATAAAGATGAACCTTTCGATGATTCATATCACAAGATGAAAATAAATCCTGTATTTATAAGATTAAAACTAGAATTTTTTGATTTGTTATACTCTTTTTCTCTTTTTTGACCTTTCAATTCATATGAACAGATCAAGCACACATGCATGAATATAGAAAAATGAAGTTTTTCATGTTCATTTTTTCTATTTATAGTGAAATTTTGTCGTACTAAATGATCACTTTTTGTATTGTAACTGCATGTTGCTAAAAAGCTTTCTTCGATGCACACACCGCATTAATAACTTTTCTATCTTGAGAAAATATTAGAAATGATAGTTTAACGTCTCAATTCCGACTAAAATGACGCAAAGAAAAGAGGAATTGATAAAAGATTGAACTTGATTTTCTGTCAGAATGTTAACCACTTTCGTGGTATTTCTGCCATCGACGGCAGCATTTATAATATGTATCTGCCTACCATGGCAGCATTTTTTCTTCGACCGGACAAGATTGAGCGTCTGTAAAACTTTCAAGAAAAGACTCACGGGGTAGATATTTGGCTTGCGTGACCCCAATGGATGACCGTCTATATTGATAACAGGAAATCCTGCCATTTACTTAAAACTTGAGATATTTTGAACAGAAAACAGACATTTTCACGGATTTTTTCCAAGGCTTTCACTTTTAACCTGCTCAAAATAGTCTTAAAACAGGAAAAAACGAGTCCAAAATTACCTTACAGTATCTCCATTTAATGGACAATAGTTTTATAGCAATGATATGGGCCGTATTTGTGTAATATAATTAAACCAACCAAATTTATAACCTACCTGTACCGATCGGTAATTTTCAGATATCTGCCATCACTGCAGTGATCTGCCATCACTGCCGCCGGTAATACGGTGTGTATTATTATTATCTTTGCAAACAATATCAGAATCACAACCATCATGTTAATTATCACCATCATTATCATTAATTTACATCTATTTACATAATAACCAACATCAGTCTCATCTTGCGAATTTAATATATTCTATTTATCACATATTTCCAAAAATAATTAACGTTTTAAGTGAAAAAAGCCATTTTGCATAGACGCGCCATGACATGTCTTGTTACGCAAATTACGTCACGGCCATGCAGTACCATTTTGACGGAGGCGGCACGGGTATGTGATAAAACCATTCAACACTTTGAAAAACTGGAGAGTTGCCTTGTGAGTGTGCGATTTTCACTCGGAATAACCTGTCAATGGTATCCATGTCGCTGTTTTATTTGGAAATTTAGTAAGATATGACGTCATCAGCGATGATGTAGTAGTAGGTTTGTAATGACGGATACACCAGGAAGAAACTCAAAAATAACAGTTATTTTCTGGCTTGTGAACTTATACAACACTTAGAATTAATTAAGCGGTACACTTTGTGAATGTTAATATAAGAATCTTACGCCGGCTGCCGGTACAGACCGGAATATCTAGCTCGAGGGTAACTGTTTACTGCGGTAATGAGCATAAAACTTCATTCATAACGGAAAAATGACGTCATTCAAAGAACGCGATTCATTCATAAAAGGCGCGCGTCAATTGCAATGACGTCTTTTAAAGCACACGACTTGTCTTACATGGGGGTGTAAGACAGAGTTTTCTAGCACCGGTGTAAACGGTAAATAATCCTGTCTGAGATGCAAGAAATTATTGATAATTATCAATAATTTTAATACCATTTAAATATATAACAATAACACTCGATTTACTGCGGAAATAAACAGCGGCGGATTCAAGGTTTTTTTTTTATTAAATATTGCGTGAATTAGCTAGGGCGCATATCTAGTAATTCTTTCCTGATGTAATCATCACATATTATAAATATTCGTTATGAAATTATGAACAATAAAATGATATTACAGTATAAGAGTCTATAATACATATCAATATCTATACTTCTATGGAAAAGTAAGAGGGTTGGGTTAATGAAAATGTTTGTTTACACTGAGGTGCGATCGTTACGATAGAATGTTTGGCATTACATTGAAAATAATAATCAAAATGTTATTTTTTTCACCTGTCTATCCGATCGATAGATCCTAGAATAGAGCTTGTAGCACTTGCACAAATATCGTGACATGTCGGCGCATTATCACAATTTCTCCTAATAGCGAACACCCAACCAGGACTCTTCGAAGCACAATAAGTTTGGGCCATCTCATCAAAGTAATTATAATTCAAACTGTCGTTTTCTACTGATCTGGCATATTCTATGCTCACTGAAAAAAATAGATCATTATCGTAAGCGCAGTTTACCATGTGGCCATTAATTTATTAAACATTGTTGGCATTTTTAATGTATGCAGGATTGTTGAAACACTCATAAATATTTGGACATTAAGTTTCATTGTTAATGATTTTTTTGCTGTGTTGTTTATAAATACATATGTATGTAAATCTGTAATGATATATGGAAATATTAAAATATATCTATTTTCCAAGTTGATGATTTTCATGAATTATATGTAAAATTGCTGAAATAATATGTTTCTAAATGTTACTTTATTATTTCGCAGCAGAATTAGAAACCCAGGCATCAAAATTTACAAAACCATGGAATAAGAAATAATATTTACATTGAAGAAGCACCACAACAATGTATAGGATGTTTCTACGTCCTTCCATTGTCTCGTGTCAGGTTGAACTCTTGTCACAAACAGGGCTTGACTTGTTCGTTTATTTTAATATCTTGGCAATGGTAGGTATTCTTCGTTATCTGTTCTTAAAAAGTGTCATAAAAATCTAAATACCAAATCATCAAACCCATCTTATACAGCTTTGGTAGATAATTTCTTTTAGAAATCAGCAACGAACCAAATAAATTGTTGCAAAAAATATGATAAACAAGATCAACAAGGAAAGGCGGCCTTCAATGAACGCAACCCCACACAACCCAGCAACAAGAACCAGCGGCAAGAAGCCCAGACGGATCCCAAACAAAAAACAGGACAGGGCACATGGCAGATCACGGACAGGCTAATCATTAAAATGATAAACAATTTGTAACTGATAAGAAATTCAAAGAAGCCAAACAAACGACCGAACAATAGGAAATAATTGGCAACCAACAAGGAATTCAAAGAAAACAAATAAATGACTGAACAATAGGCCAACAAAGTCAAAGGGCATAGGGGAAGGGACAGAGGCCGGGGGTGGGGTAAATAAAAGAAATAAGAACAAGGGCAAAGGGGAAGATACTTACCGTAGACGAAAAAACAACTTGGGACACAGGCAAAAGTGTCACATAGACATACATCTGAGGGTCACCGCCTTGGAACGGTCAGCAGCATAATTATGACTGCTGGGGAGTTTAAACCGGTTAATGGTACATTAAAACTTAGCCCCATCATGTTCCTATAAACGAGACTGTGTAAATTAAATGAATTCACGCCAAGTGAAATTCTAACAGTTGTTTTGGTTACAAAAGGTTAAATAAATAAAAAGCCAAAATGATCATGTAGAAACATATAACAGTAAACCCAATGACCATAACACAAGAACCCAATGTCCTAAAGCATTGGGCAGTTAATGTTGCACATATTGTTTCGATTCCAGCGACTATGGTATAAAAATCTTATCCGCAAACGCAACACCTTTAAGATCTTTGTAACTATTTATGATTATCAGACAGACATAAGACGCAACTTTGCGAACAGATAACCAGTCAATCTGCATATATTCTGCACTTAAATTCACTTTTTGTTTTGGCTTAATTATTTATTTATTTACTTATCTCTTTATTCATTTCTCGGGGGGTGGGGGGGGGGGTTGGCGTGAATTAAAAAAAAAGGACACAACTTAAAAACAAAAGAACAACTAGTTCAATATTAATTCTCAACAATTTATACAATACAATACATATTCTTTGTGACCTCAGTACGTGTACATTCTTTGTGTACTCAATACACATTCATTTTGTACTCTATATACATTCTTTGTGTACTCAATACACATTCTTTGCGTACTAAATACACATTCATTGCGTACTCAATACACGTTCTTTGTTTACACAATACACATTCCTGTTCTAATTCAGACACATCGTTGGTGTAATTGAGACATATCCTTGGTTTAATCCACAATGTAGATCATCACCAATCATTTAAAACGTTTTAACAAAAATTGTAGGTTATCCGCGAAAAATGCAATATCATGAATATTCAATATTATGCATACATTTTTAACATATCCTTAGTAGGATACTCTTGTCAGTTTCATATTGGTTTCAATGAGATTAACAAATGTTGGGATATTGTCAAAATCAGGTACTTGTTTCTTTCGTTGTTAATTTTATTCATATAAAGCAATACTGAATAAACAATAATAAAGCCCTGCGTTGAATGTGTCACAGTACAGGGTATATTGAACACTATTCATCTGTAATATGTTGGAAGAAAATAGATTGATCATGGGACTTATGTCAATAACAAATTGTTGGTCCTGTTTAAATAATCGGTAGAGCACGAACGTAATGATAAATTCGGTTTAACCTACGCTACAACAATTAAACATGGTTACAAGGAATAAGTAATTGCGTGTTGGTATAAGTTCAAAAATATACAAGAAAAATATTCATTATTTATTCGATGATTATGATGAAATTACAGCGAAAGTTTCAACTGCATGTAAGCGTTGGCGGTATTTAAGAATTATTTGTCAATTCATTCTTATTGACAGACATCATTTCATATAATAATATCGAAACAAACTTGATGTTTCTCTAGTTGGTGACTACATAAGAAAAAATCACGTCATAGTCAAACAAAAATGAAATTAATGTTGATTTAAATATACAAGTAATTAATGAAAAATAACACTCACCTAAAGCATCCTTTATATAGTTATTTACTACTTCAATACTTTGTTTGAATTCATCAGATTTCCCACTATGTGTATTCTGTTTCAAGTCTGACTCCTTCATACATAATTTTATGGACGAGATACCCAGCCAATGAAATTATGCATTGAATTTTTTTTAGAATCATATTCCCCGCTTAATGTATTAATTTTTATGTTTTATGTTTGCAATAACCGACTACCGGTATGTTATTTCAGGAGCGACTTAGATAAAGATCTTTACTGCATCTTTAACAGTTTTCGGCAGTAGGAGTCATTTACCATCACGCATCTGTCGCCATACAGTCTCGTTTTTTTTGAAGTTTGGATCAAATTATATAAAAAGTACTAGATATGGTAATTATTATCATTGTAGAAGGGTGGTGATGTGAAATGTTGTGTGTTTTTATTTGGATATTTGGTCAGTGAATAAATTGGATTACAGATAAAACATAAACTGATACCAATAAATGAAATTTTATATATATTAATATCCAATATAAAGAATTTTCAAACCTGAAACAAAATCTTTATTAACGTTTAAAAGTTTAACTTAAGATTTACATCCAACTGCATTTTATTTCCCGCCTTATAGAGAACTCTTTCGTTTTATTATTTAATTGATTATTTAATTAACTAATTAGACAACAAAACGATACAGTTCTCGAGTGTGCAGTTCCCTACAGTATCTATTCTTCTATTCTTGCCTAACCCTAACCCTAACCTCTAACCGTAACCATAATGTCAAAGAGAGAGAAAAATGCATATTAAAATAGAAATTTTTAAGTTTTTCTATGAATACAGGGTTTATTTTCATCTAGTGGTATAAAATCGTCATATTTCATAACACCCGATGAAGATAAATCCTGTCTTTACAGAAAAAAAAATCGAATATCCTCTACTGTGTTAATTTTGTAAGTTAATTTTACTTTTTAAATTGCAGATTAAAATGATGCACTAATGAAAGTATTATGTTTAGTGATAAATAAAATGAATTGTATGAATGTTCAGTATATGTGTTAATATATGTAAAAATTGTGATAACCATTTAATCATTTCTTTTTACATGTTATATTTTCTTTGATTGATATGTGTTCTTTTGTGTGTGTGTTTTTATTTTCTATTTTTATTTTAGAAGGCCGCATTGTAAATAAGATGTTGCAATCTGTATATGTCTTAATGTGTTACCTTCGGTAAATAAAGTTATTATTATAATTATTATTATTTTATATATTAATAAAATTTATGAACCACAGAGAGAGTTTTTGTTTCTAAACAATTCAATTCTCAATAAGAACAATAAAAATCTTCCTCATCATAAAGTTTTATAAACATACTGAGTAGATTAAAATTTCAAACAGTAATATGACTCAAACTTATTTCAGCTTTTCGAGAGGCGATAAATTGCCTTCTCATGTTGTTGTCTTTTTGTCTTCTTTTTTTTGTTGTTGTTTTTTTCGGCATCTATATTTGCATAGGAACAACATACGTTTTGGTAAAATAATACAGTACGATTTAACGTTTTAAAAAACCGAACTGTACGTACATGGTAATTAGTTTTTTTTTTGAAAGAATATAAATATTATTGCCATTTTATAGCTCTCTCCTCTGTCTCTGTCTGTCTGTCTGTCAGTCTCGCTCTCTCTCTCTCTCCCCCCTCTCTCTCACTCTCTCTCTCTCTCAAAGAAAAAACATGACTTGGTCCATAGTATGTCAAGGCATTTTAAAAGCTTTGGACTCGTCGTCAGTTTAATATCGCAAAGGTCTTAATGAATTCAAACGAACATATTTCTTTACTCTATTAAGAAAAAAACAAAAACAATTTAAATGTTGATGCTGTACATCAAAGACGCCGACAAATGATGTGAACACTCACAGGTAATGTACAAAATCAGCCTTGACAAATGTTAACTATGACAGTTGATATCCAGAGCGAATATCAATTTTTCTTCATGTTCTTGGTATGTGCCCATTGCCGATAATTACATTTATTTATTCATTCATTGGTATCAGTTTATGTTTTATCTGTAATCCAATTTATTCACTGATCCAATATCCAAAGAAAAACCCACAACATTTCACAAAATTACCCTTCTTTAACGATAATAATTACCATATCTAGCAACTTTTTATATAATTTGATCCAAATTTCTAAAAAACATTAGATTGTATGGCGACAGATGCGTGATGGTTAATGACTCCTACTGCCGAAAACTGTTAAAGATGCAGTAAATATCTTTATCTAAGCAGGTCCTGAAATAACATAGTTGGATATTGCAAACATAAAAACATTAAAATTTATAAATTAATAAGATGATTCTAAAAAAAATTCAATGCATAATTTCCTTTGGGTATCTCGTCCATAAAATTATGTATAAAGAGTCAGATTTGAAAAAGAATACACATAGTGGGAAAATCTGATGAATTCAAACAAAGTATTGAAGAAGTTAATAACTATATCAAGGATGCTCTACGTGAGTGTTATTTTTCATTAATTACTTGTATATTTAAATCAACATTAATTTCATTTTTGTATGACTATGACGTGATTTTTCTTATGTAGTCACCAACTAGAGAAATGTCAAGTTTGTTTCGATATTATAATAGAAAAAGATATCTGTCAATAATAATGAATTCAAATATATCAAATGATTCTGAAATACCGCCAACACTTACATTTAAAACTTTTGGTTTGTAAATTCAACATAATCATCAAATAAATAATGAATATTTTTCTTGTTTACTTTTGAATTTATACCATAAGCGGAATTTAACACGCAATTACTTATTTCTTGTAATCATGTTTAATTGTTGTAGCGTAGGTTAAACCGAATGAATGGTCGATTAATCATCACTTTCGTGCTCTACCGAGTTTTAAAACAGGACCGACAATTTGTTATTGACATAAGTCCCATGATC